GATCCGTAATCAGGACTTGGGGAGCGCCGTGTCGGAGGACGATAGACTCCACGAAGAATTTGGCTACTTCCACGGCGGTCCCCGACGGGAGTGCTTTTGTCTCGGCGTACCTGGTGAGATAATCAGTTGCCACGATTATCCACCGGTTTCCCTGCGCCGACGGTGGGAAAGGTCCGAGAAGATCCATTCCAACCTGCTGGAATGGTGTAGTCGGGGGCGCGATCGGTTGCAAGAGACCTGCCGGCTTCGTCGGTGGTTTCTTACGTCGTTGGCATTCGTGGCACGAACGGACGTAGAGGTGGACAGTCTTCGGAAGCTTGGGCCAGTAGTATTTTTCTCGGATCCGTGCAAGGGTCCTACTGTAGCCAAGGTGACCAGATGTTGGGTCGTCGTGGCAGGCTTGGAAGATCTCTTCTCGAAGACTAGCAGGAATCACTAGCAGCCACGTCGAGTTGTTGTCCCCGAAGTTTTCTTTATAGAGGATACCTCTCCGGACGGCGAATCGTGGCAGGTCACGTGAGAAGGCTCGGAGAATCGTACCCCCTCGTCCCTCCAAGTGGTCGATCAATGCACGCAGCTCAGGATCGTCCCGTTGGAGCGCTGCCATGCCGTGAATGCTCACCGCGCCAAGAAAGTGGTCGTCGTCGTCGTCGTCTTTGGCACATCCGGCAGCTGACTCGACAGGGGCTCTGGACAGGCAGTCGGCGTCGCTGTGTTTTCGGCCTGACTTGTAGACCACGGTTACGTCGTACTCTTGCAGTCGTAGGCTCCATCGAGCGAGGCGTCCCGATGGGTCCTTCAGGCTCGCTAACCAACACAGCGAATGGTGGTCGGTGACCACCCGAAACGGAGTCCCGTACAGGTATGGGCGGAATTTCGTGATAGCCCAGACGACGGCCAGACATTCCTTCTCGGTCGTCGAGTAATTGCGTTCCGCGTTCGACAGCGTCCGGCTAGCGTATGCGATCACGCGCTCCGCACCTTCTTGTCGTTGGACCAGTACCGCTCCGAGTCCTGTATTACTGGCGTCCGTGTGGACCTCCGTTTCGGCTGATTGGTCGAAGTGGCCGAGAATCGGTGGTGACTGGAGCCGTCGCTTTAGTTCGTCGAATGCCTGTTGTTGTTCTTCACCCCAGTCGAAGTTCACGGTGTCCTTCGTAAGGTACGTTAGCGGCGCAGAAAGCTTGGCGAAATCCTGAACGAATCGCCGGTAGTATGCGCAAAGCCCAAGGAATCTTCGGACGGCAGTTTTGTCGGTGGGCGGTGGAAAGGCCGCTACGGCGCGAGTCTTCTCAGGGTCAGGACTTACACCTTCGTTGCTCACCACGTGGCCCAGGAACTTCAGTTCGCCGTAGGCAAACCGGCACTTCGTCGGCTTGAGGGTGAGTCCTGCGGTCCTGATTGCCTCTAAAACGGCCCGAAGGCGTCGCAAATGCTCGTCGAAGTTGGCCGAGAATACCACGACGTCATCGAGGTAAACGAGACAGCTCTGCCACTTGAGGCCTGCCAGGACGGTGTCCATGACACGTTGGAACGTTGCCGGCGCCGTGCACAGTCCGAAGGGCATCACCTTGAACTCAAACAGTCCGTCGGGCGTGACGAAGGCAGTCTTCTCTCGGTCCCGTTCGTCGACTTCGATCTGCCAGTAGCCACTCTTAAGGTCCATCGACGAAAAGTATTGGGAGTGGCGCAGCCGGTCCAGCGTGTCGTCGATGCGGGGGAGCGGATACACATCTTTCTTCGTGACCGCGTTGAGCCGCCGGTAGTCAACGCAGAATCGAAGCGTTCCGTCTTTCTTCTTTACCAGCACAACTGGAGAGGCCCACGGGCTGCTCGAAGGCTGAATGATGTCGTCGTTGAGCATCTCCTGTACTTGTTCATGAATGGCCTCTCGTTCCTTTGGGGAGACCCGGTACGGCGGCCGATGCACAGGGAGCGCGTCCTCGTTGGTAATGATGCGGTGTTTCGCAACTGTTGTCTGGCGCACCCTCGACGTCGTCGCAAAGCAGTCGCCGAACTCGGCGAGGAGGTCTCCGAGCTGTCGTCGTTCCGTGGCGCTGAGCTTGGGGTTAACGTCGAGCTGTGGCGGCACAGTACTGGACGGCTGACATGGCGAGGGCTCGTCGGAGATCGCGGCGATTTCGGCGTCGGCCCGGAGTTCCTCGACGTGTCCTATAGTGGCACCTTTCGTGAGATGCTGCGCCTCCGGTCGAAAGTTCGTCGCGAGGACCACACAACGTCCATCCTGCAGCTCTGCTACGCCCCTTGCGACGCCTATTCCTCTTCCGAGAAGCAGTTGGACGTTGCCTTCCAAAAGGACTTTCCCGCTGGCAACTGCGTCGGTAACGACGGGCACAAGAACACTCGACCGTGGCGGCAGGTTCACGTGGTCCGCAATGACTCGGACGGCGGCTGGCGACGTTTTGGATTCCTCCGGAGGTAGCACGGGCTTTCGCAGCGTCAACCTGTTTGCTCCAAGGTCGATCACGGCACCGTACTCACAAAGGAAGTCCATGCCAAGGATGACGTCTCTCGAACAGTCTTTGAGGACGACGAATTTGACGGGGCAAGACTCTCCGTAGATGTCCACGCGCGCAGTACACCTTCCCACTGGTGTGATGAGATGTCCGCCGGCGGTTCGTATTTTCGGGCCATCCCACGGCGTCATCACTTTCCGAAGGCGGCGAGAGAGCTTCCCACTTAAAACGGAATAGTCTGCTCCGGTGTCGACGAGTGCCTTCGCGTCGTGGCCGTCGATGGTAACGTCGAGGTTATTCGACACCGTCACAGAAGCGTCGCTCCTATCCGTTTCGTCGCTAGTGTGGGAGCCCTCCGACGTTAGTGGAGGATATTGGCGTCGTTCGTCACCGGCAATACCACCTCCCGGTATTGCCGCACTCAGTTTTCCCGGCGAGGCAAGGGGGACAGGCTTTCTCGGCGGGACCGGCGGAAGGGCGATGGCGAGCGTCGGGGAGGTGGTGAACGGAATCCTCGGCGGCGAGACGACTCAGGAGATGAAGAGCGGCGGAGGTAGTCTTCGATGTCCCGAGGTCGCTCTCCAAGACGTGGTCGAGGGTCGTTGGGCGCAAACCCTCGTAAGCCCAGCTGTCGGTAGGGGCATCGTCGGTAGATGTGGTCTGCTTCACCACAGTGGTAGCACAGGGGGCGTCGATCAGCCGTCCGCCAGACGTCAGTCTTCCTGGGCGCCGGTTGTTCTCGCCGGACGCACTGAGGTCGGTCGTCGAGACGTCGGAGGTACGGCGGTGCTGGTGTGTCTCGTCGTTGCGGCGCAGGAGGTTGACGGGCAGGAACTGGCGGTCGTCGAGCCATGGCGGCGTAGCTCACCGTTGGTTGTTCCGGTGGTGGCAGGTCGACGGGAGCCTCCTGCTGGAAGGCTCGCTGCACCTCCTCCCGCACTACTTCCGCCATAGAAAGCGAGGCAGGGCGATCGGCAGTGGGCAGAACCTTCCTGATTTCTTCTCGAACGACGTCGCGGATTATCTGCCGCAGGTGTTCGATGTTGATACTATTGACATCGGAGCGAGGTGGTGAGACAGCCGGAACCGTTGACACACCGGTGCGTCGTTGATAGTGCACAGCTCTGGCCAACAGCGCTCGCTCGATGTTGGTTGCCTCGGCCACGAAGCCATCTACCGTCGTCGGGGGGCTGCGGACAAGGCCACCGAAGATTTCACTCTTGACGCCCCTCATGAGGAAGCGCAACTTCTTCTCCTCGGTGGCTTGAGGGTCGGCGCGTGTACAGAGTCGTAGCACGTCTTCAACGTAGCTTGTCACGCTTTCGTCGGGGGCTTGTGTCCGCGTCTGGAGCAGGTCCTCCGCATTCTGTCGCCGGTGTTGGTTCGAGAATGTTCGCCTCAACTCGGCAGCGCAGATATCCCACGATGTAAGCGAAGCCTCGTGGTTTTCGAACCAGTGCCTCGCGGTGCCTTCCAGCGAGAAGTAGAGGTTCTGGAGGCGCTGCTCGGCGTTCCATCCGTTGTGGCGGGCGACGCGCTCATAGTGAAGGATCCAGTCCTCGACGTCTTCATAAATTTCGCCATGGAAAGTTGTCGGCGATCGGGGGGCGACGGGCAGGACAACGACGGGCGGAGCGGTCATCGTCGCGGTCTTCTTCTTTGATTTCCGCGGCGGGGGTCCGAGTTCAGGAGCTTGCCCTTGAAGACGGCGGCTGGCACGATGCTCTGAGTCTTCAACGGAAGGTCGTCGGGAAATGGGGCTTGTTGACCGAGTTCTTCTAGGGGTACGCTGCACGGGTTTTGTACCCCGCACCTCCACCAGAAATGTCACGAATGAAGGTGACGAAAAGCCAAACAGTGAACTGAAAATAAAGATTTAATGGGCGAACTTGTGCCAACCAAAAATAAATAACGAAGGAGCGTCGAGGTAGCGGAAAAGCGGGCGGCGGTTCGGCGGCACTACAGAGCGCTAGCGAAACTGGGACTGACTCGACAAGGTCGCGGGAGCCGCTTATCTACCCTGCGTCACTATCTCGAAAGTTCGGCAACGAAGGTTCGAGCGTCGCGCGCTCGGGGCGAGGATGAACTGGCACTTTCGAGAATAACAAAGCAGAAGGAAAGTTACGTCTGCTGCGAGAATGACCGGGAATCTTCTAGAAGACCGTGACCGAGCGTTGCCTTCTCGGCTCTGCGGGTGGCAATATCGCCAGCCGGAGTCGGCGCGCGGTTTCAGTTGAGCCGATTGAGCCAGTTGAGCTGCTAGTTTTGGTTGCATCACCTGCTGCGTATGAGCTTTCAGTTGCTGAAAAGACCGCAGGACATCTATTCCTACAGGAAGAAAGGGTAAGATTTTATTGCAGTAAAATATAGTTCAACAGCAGTTTGCGCCGGCGCATGGTTGGATCGGCGAAACGAAATTGCGATTCAGGCAGCAGTTTGCGCCGGCGCATGGTTGGATCGGCAAAACGAAACTGCGTTGCACGCGTTTTTTTTTTTTTTTCTTTCACTTCTTTTTCGTCTTCTTCTTCTTCTTCTTCTTTCATATTTATATATAAAGCGAAAAGAGTACGTTTTATCGAAGTGTGGTTTAGAGAAATGCGATGTGTGCACGGCGGGAACCTACACTTGCAAGCAAACCATGCTACGCGCGCTCGCTGTCGCTCGAAGGAATGTTAATCTCAAGTTCGAGCACGCACCTACAAGGGTTCATCGCTGAGTACTCGGCAAGCTAGGCTGATGAATCAGAGAAACATCGGAAGCAGCATGCCGGGGGTTGCCATCTTCTCGAAACCGAGTTTCGACTTTCGAGGCAGCTCGAAGAAACTGTTTTCGCTAAAACTGCGTTCGTTAGAACGAGCTTCTCTAGACCGCACGCTGTCACGGTTGATTAAGGCGTATAATTAATATAAAAATATTAATCGGGAATTGGTGTAGTCTCGTCTTGCCTTGGTGCTTTGTTTGTGTAATAAATTACCTCGCTGATCAGCCACATTTTCTCCACCACATGCGGATGTGACGGTTGGAATTGTTTGAACATAATGCGATTACTTCACATTAAATTCGATTGTATTCTTTTCTTACAGAGATGAATTTCGCATATGTGCAATATTTTACTGGAACAGCACGACCTAAGACTATCATCAGTACATCTGCAATTAAAAACTTTGAACCGAGAAGTGAGGATGACTACAAGAAGGGTCACCTCTATGATGCTTTGTTGACTCCAGACGGAGGGGAGCCGGGCTGTTTTAAAGCCCAAATACTACTTTTGGCAGGTGATATATATCAATGCAGTTCCTCACAGCAGCACACCAGAGGAGACTTGCCCTATATGTTATTGTGTGTACCACTTTGCAGACTCAAAGTCGTCGATCGAGGAGAGGATCAAAAGGGGCAAGAGGATCCCTCTACCTAAAGTCCTTGACCAGGTTGTTGAGCACAGCAGTTCGGAAGACGACCAAGCAGCTCTTCGGGTCGAAATGGCAAGCATTTTGTTGCTGCTTATCCTTTTAGAACTATCATAGAACCCCTCCGGTGCCTTCACATAATATGTACAAATGAGCTGTGTTGCCACGAAAAATTATTTACACTATGAAATAAAAGACTAAATGTCACTACAAGTGGTAACTGAATAAAACAATGGCCTTAACAGGTAAATACAGATTAAAGTATGAAAATTGATACTTCACAAAAAAAACTGATTTTAGCTGGTTTCTGGTTGAAATTAAAATTATATTGTTTTTCCATTTAGTCTGTTCGGTTTTTTGGTACTGTAGTTCATTATTTATTCCCTCATATAGTTTTAAAGCACACCTTGGAAGATTACAAATTTTCTGTAATATTCAGAGAAATGAGGTTAAGTATGACTGATACATCTTGTCTGGTGTAAAACAATATATAACAATTTTTGTTCTTTTTCTCTATTAAGAAAAACGAAAAGGTAATAGGTATGTATGTGGATGTTGTCCTTATAATTATTGTGATTGGTTGACATTAGAACCGTTTATTAGACAGTGTTGCAATTGCACTTTTAAATGGAGCTATTATTAAAGCCTTGCCGAATTTGAACAATTTATAAAAGGCTACAAGTTTTTAGATATAAATTTTGCCTTTCATGGCTTGACTGAAAACCCGCAAGCCAGACCAAAACGACTATGTGAGCGCAACATAACGCGCTCCTTCCAGTATGCAGTTTTTTAACCAGGACACAAAAGGCGTAATTTCAGCTCTGAATATCTAAAAGCTTGTTGCCCTTTTGCAGATTGTTTCAATTCGATAGTACCCTAACAATGGTTTGCTTAACTACAATTGCAACATAGCCCCAAACAGTTAATTTACAGATTTTCGTTAATTAGTCAACATACTAGTGATGTTTCTCAAAGGCTTGATAAGCCGAGTGCAGTAATGCAGTGAGAATAGCACCCAGACAATCCGTCACCTGATTTTCTTTCTAAAATTTCATTTAAGAAACTGCATAATTGAGTTTTACACAAAAATTACTAATTTTCTATATAATTTGCTGTGATTGAAAACATAAATTGTATTGGAAGAAATCCTTATTGCAATTATATACTAAATTTTTCTTTGGCAGAGCAAAGAAATGTTGGTGTAAATTACAATTATTATTTTGACAAGAGTGTCCATGAAAATGTGACCGCCAATGAAATCAAAAGATGCTGGAGCTTTCCCTACATGGTGCTTGTAATAGTGCAGGCTCAGCAGAAATTGAATCGTACAAGAGAAGCAACAGCAAAGATGAAGCAAATAATTTCAGAAAAGTTGTCTCAGAAGCGCAAGAACCCACTTTTCCCAGAGGCTCGGAGTGCCAAGCATGCCAGGTACGAAAGCCACAGTGATACAGACAGTGGGGATGATGGTGCTGTTGTTCCCAAAAAGTTGTACGACGATCTCCATCAGAAGTATCTTGCCCTAAAAAAAACTACAAGGGAACTTAAGGAAGACGTTGAAAAGATGCGGACAAGAGAGGCCAAAAACACAGACATTCTGGATGTGATTCTTGAGGGTGTAAACAGCATCAAATCAAAGCTCGAGAGCACTGGAGCAGGTGCGTATCTCTTTCCTTCTGAAGCATGAATTTTACAAAAAAAAAAAAAAAAAGCCTAAGACAACCATGGTGATTTAAAATGTTTAACTTAGTTTTTTTTTTTTCTTTTTTTTGCGCCGTCAAGGATGCTCAATAAATGCAAACACCAAGCATGATATCGTGAAGAAGGCTAAACTCAGAACTGACGGAAGAACGGTAAGCTGATGCAGCAAATTTTTTATAGCCTGTGGTTGCCGTTTTAGTTTTTTTAATATTTTGACAAAGTACTGGAAAGGACAAAATTATAAAGAAGCCACAAGCTAGATTTATATCTGCTCTTAAAATCTGCAATTAGAAAATGGCCGATCAATGTTTTAAGATTGTGGTCATGAAATAAAGCTGGCTTGAACTGTCGGTTAATTTGAAGTTTGTGTACTTGCTGTCATTTCCAACAGCTTCGTAGGATTACAAATGAAGCCTTTATTGTTTTTATTTATATTCATTGCTCTGCTTCATTTGCAGGTCTGTGTAAATGACAGTGTTACCCTTAGTTTGGACCAATGGGTCGCCTGTCAGCGACAAAAAAAAGAGTCCAAGTTTGTGAGGAGTCTGGCTACTGCCATATGGGGACGCAATATTTTGAAAAATCGATCTACGAGTGGCAAGGTGTCTAACCGTTTGATAAATGATGGAGGTGCTGCGAAGCCACCACTGACTCCAACAAAACTTAATGTGCTAGAAGGTGAGTAGCTTGTAGTTTACGGCACTTTCCGTGTTTACTCCGTTTTATCACTAACTGATTACATTCAACAGGGCCGCCATATTTCTCATGACCTGACTACAAGGTGAAGAAGAAGCAACAGATTAATATAACCAACAAATGGAGATTTTGGAGATGTTACTAAAAAAAATACTACACGAAATAATGTGCAGCGTATCGAACCTTTTGAACATTTATTTTTACCTGTTTGGTATATTATATTTCACAGTAGTGCACTAGATTTTTTTCGGTAAAAGTTGCATGCATTTAACTGGGCATCTTTTAAATATGCAGGGCATTTTTTCTTCCATAATTTTTACATGGGTGGATAACCATCACCTGTATTGACTAACTAACCAAAACCTGTTAAAAAATGGTTTAATGGGCATGTTGCAATTGGTGGTTGACTGTGGAGCAACTACCGAGGATATGCTGTACAGATAGTGACGAGATGACTAAAACAACTGTCACTTTTCTATGGACCATTATCGGCAAAACTTCCCAGATTCTTTTTGGTGCGCAGTTCTTGAGTTAGGCAACGAAAAAGAAAATTTTAACAATGAACGTTTCAAAGCGACAAATTTTTACGAATTGTCGAAATTGGGTTAGCCTGTAATAATGGCTATTTTGGGGGGCCCCCATGAGGCCCGCCACCCCCCCCCCCCCCCCCCCCCCGAAATCTTACATTTTGTTGGGACCTCCTCTCCCCCCTCCCCCTCATGCATCAATTTGTCATGGGCGCCCCCCCCCCCAAAACAAAATCCTGGCTACGTGCCTGATTGCAACATGCCTCATTAAACCACTAAATAAAAAGTTAATTGCCATATATTTGTAATTTGTCGACATATTCTGACAGTTATCCAGCCGTCTATGTCCGTCATGCCCACAAATATAAACTAAAGGATAGACGTATCTCATTTTTTTTATTTATATAAAAGATAAAAAGATATCTGCATACTGCAAGATTAAAATTACCCCACACTTAGGTTGTTTTAAATATTACAAATTTCTCTGTCAAAATTATGCAGAGTTTAATAGTTGCATTTTTTTTTCCAGCATGCTATGAGGACTGGCTACGTGAACCTGGCGCCAGTGGCGATGTGTTGGCTGAGCGGATGGCAGCAATGACCACACACATAAACAGCGCCGTACGTGACCTGGGCCGTGACGTGCGGCATGCGCTAGGTACTGACCAAGAATAACGGACCAAGTGTCTCTGGAACTATGCTTGTCAAGGACGACGCTTCCTATGTTTCCACATGTATTATTTCAGAAAAGTAAAATTTGTGTTTCAACACTGGAGTGTCTCTCACTTCGCCGCAAGGTAGGTTTGCTGTAGCTGTTTTTTAGTGTGCTTGCCGCATTAAAAGCAGCTACAGTAGACCTTTCCCGCGATATTTTCTGCCATTGAAATAATATTAAAAATTCAATGAGCATAACATACAAATCCCTTAAGGCGAGACGCGGGTCTTAAAATGGTAAAAAATCGCGAAATTTGGGGTTTTTCAAAAATCACATGTTTGGATAGAATATAGTCTGAAGTACCTGCCTGCGAAGTTTCAATGTCCTATTCGACGTCTAAGTATAAAAAAAACGATAAATACGATGCCTCCGCGACGCTCAAATCGCGAATCCAATGCAAAAAAATAGTCAAACTGCGCGCCCGCGTCGCTTCACGACCGATTGTCGGATCGCGGCCATCTTGGTCTTGTTGGGGAGCTGGTTCTCTTCCCTACGTCCTCATCCCACTCACTATCGCGACAACCTTGGAGAGCGTCCGCATTCCGCGGGTTTTCACGACCGGAATAACGATTGCTCATTGGCCCGCGCGCGTACGTCACGGGTACGTTGTGCCGCACGCGCCTGTCATAGGCCAAGACGCGCCCCTTTCCACTTTTGCTCCTTTCCTCCTCTTGGCGCGCGCGCCTCCAGCAGCGCAAGGGGAGCGTGGAGAAGCGTCGTCTGCTTCGTTTTGGCCCGTCGCTTTGTTCGTTTCGCGGCTGAGTGCACGTTGTTTCGAAATCGTTTACGTTCGCGTCGGACATCGTTGGTTTCTCGCTACGAAGTTGCGGGAGTTTTATTTCGAGCGATCGAGATGCCGGGGGACTCTCGATTGAAAGAGAGTACGCGGCGGACGTTCGGCAGGAAGACGCGACGTGCGTGGAACAAGCGGAAGACATCACCTGCAAGTGCGCCGCTACGATCTGCGCCACTGCCGAACGCATTGGATCTGCCGGGACCATCGGCTAGCCTTCCCGTTGACGATGCTGCGGCCTCAAGCTCTGGTCCGGATGGCTCAAGTTTTGCCGGCACCACTCGCGTCGACTCTACCTACTACTCTACGGCCGAGCAAGCGCAGCGCGCCGAGCGATCGGAGCAAAGCAAGCGCGTTTTATCGGAGAAGTCGGCGACCCAGCGGAAGTTCGATCTGCTTGAAGTCAACGGATCATGCCAAACAAGCGATGCCGGGACCCAGTTTGTCATCGTCGACATGAAAGTCCTCAACGACCTCTTCGCGCACGCGAGGTGTGGAAGCTGCGGTGTGGGATCTCTCACGCTCAGCAAGGCCGCGGACAAGGAGTACGGCTTGGCCGTCAAGCTTGTGCTCGTCTGCAGCACTTGCGACTTCCAGAAGAAGCAGTTCTCCTCTCCCAGGGTTGCTGGAACAGCAAAGATCACTCACTCCCTTTGAAGTGAACATGAGGGCCATGAAGGGGATTCAATCCATTGGCAAAGGAGTGACAGCCTTGGCAAACTTCTGTGCCTCCATGAACATTTCTCATCGGGGCCTGCACCACAAGACGTACCAGGGACACCTGAAAACGCTTGTGCGGGCATGTGAGAATGCAGCAACCGACAGTGAAGCCGCCAGTGTTGCTGTCGTCAAGGGGCTCTACACAGGCTTTATGAACCCCATTGGCAACATCGATGTCATCTTCGACGGATCATGGATGACCCGAGGACGCAGCTCCCACATTGGTGTAGGCTGCATTGTGGAGTTGTACTCTGGCCTCGTCATCGACCATGTTGTGTACTCCAACTTCTGCCTTGGATGTGCCTTGGGACCGGAGCCCGAGGACGATGGCTACAGCGACTGGTACGCAACCCACGACTGCCAGAGGAACATTGACTGCAATGCTGGCCGTATGGAGGTGGAGGCTGCGCTCACAATGTTCCAGAGGTCTCTGACCAAGCATGGTCTCCGCTACACCACCGTCCTTTCGGATGGGGACAGCCGGACATTCCATGCCTTGTCTGAAGCGAAGGTTTACGGCTTCATCAAGATAGAGAAGAAGGACTGCGTGAACCACGTCCACAAGCGGATGGGAGCTGCCTTGCGCAACGTTGTTGAGAAGAAGGCACAAGGCGAGTCACTTGGTGGGAGAGGAAAGCTGACACAGGAAAAGATCAAGAAGATCACTAACTATTACGGCTATGCTCTCAGGAGCAACAGCCATGACGTTCCAGGGATGAAGAGGGCGGTGGAAGCCACACTCCTGCACATGACCTCCACAGACGGCGCCCCAGACCACAGCAAGTGCCCCGAGGGAGCGGAGTCCTGGTGCAAGTACAACAGGGCCTTGGCAAACAGTGAGCCTCCGCCGCCGCACAAGAATCCTCTTCCGGATTGTGTTCGGGCTGCACTGGAGCCAGTGTTTGAAAGGCTCAGCAATGAAGACCTGTTGGCACGGTGTAGTGAGGGAAAGACGCAGAATGCCAGTGAGAGCCTGCATTCGGTGATCTGGACGCAGACTTCAAAGAATGCGAATGCCTCCCTGGACAGCGTGAAGAGGGCTGCGGCTGAAGCTGTTGCTGTCTACATCCAGGGAAGGAGAGCGACCAACGAGTCCATTGCTGCAGGCCTGGGCTACGCCACCGGTGACTGCCTTGTCCGCCGAAGCATCGAAAAGGACAGTCTCCGTTTACGTAAAGCAAACGCGGTGCACCAGAGCAGCAGTAGCGTGAAGGAAAGGTTCTCCAAGCGACACCAGGCAGGAGCATCACGAGATTACAGCCCAGGACAGCTGTAATGGCTTTTTCCAGTGCCATGTGGAACAAAGGCCCTTTTCAGGGCCAAACAAAATTACGTTTGGAGCTTGAAACTCTTGCTTGCCTCTCCCGTTGTCCAAAGTTGTCGGGTCATCACTTTAGAAGCAATTTTTAGCCTATATCAGTAATTCTTCACCATTTTTGCAATCTTCTCAAAAACAAATTATTGCAATTTTTAAAATTATTTGTTCAGAATGCACTACACTACATCTTGATAACTATTATTGCATAAGGGTTTTCACATAATTTATTGTAGTCAGCGTCGAAACAGGAAAATGTGATTTTATCAACATTTCACTCGTTCTTTACTTCTTTCATATTTTTTTTCCGAATGTTCCCATAAATGGATTACATCATCTTTTATGTCAAGTTGTTCATGAAGACTTACACTACACCTTGGTGGCAATTATTATTTATCATTGTTCACACAATTTTCTATGTTCAATGTCAAAACTTTAACTTTGATTTTCTCATCTTCATGTTTTTTGTCAACGTGCTTAGCCTTACGGGGGTTTTCATGAGGTTTTTATTGTAGCATTTTGAAACTTTTTATACCGTTTTATTCAGAAGGGACTGGACTGTGGAGTAAAGCTATTTTTTTGCAGTTTATAATGACAACGAAAATTTTATGATAAATAATGCGACCTCATTAGTGTCATAATTAGCATAATTAGTACATTTTTGTATTATAATGTAATTTTGTGAAAATATAAATAGCTTTATAATGCATGGCAGACCTTTAGCTATGCATCTACATCAATAAAAAAAAATATTTTTGTTCGAAATGGCCTTAACGACCCGTAAGAAATTAACCAAATTAGGCAACACTATTTTTTATAACTTGAAAACTAATTGAGATATTTTGAAACTGATTTCATATTTGAATTGAGGAAGAAGGAACACATATGCACAGTGATTTTCATTAGTATAGCTGCAAAAATAAAATAGTCCATTTTAGAACCAGTGTCTCGCCTTAAAATTTTACATTACTGCTGCTGGATTTTCACTTCTTCAGCTCATTGATGCTTATTCGTTTCTATCCTGCATTCTCATTCAAAACGATTGAATCCTCCTTACAAAGCACATAACCGCTCGTGGCAGTCTGCCTATTTTGCTCATTCGGGCACATTCATTTTCGCACCGAAATACATATCCATTTTGTCTCATTTTCTATATTCAGCTTGTGGGTTTCTAGGGTAATTTCACATTCAAGTTTCATCGGGTTGCTCATTCATGCACATTGGTTTTGGTGCAAAAATGAATGAGATTTTAGCTCTTTTTTCCAGCAGGGTAGAAGATGTCCATGGGTGAGATGTTTATGTCTAGTCCGCAATCGACACAAAATAACCTCGTAAAAGCGCTCACGATGCCTGCAACGTTTCCACTCAGTTAGAGTTCTTTTGATGATGTGAAGCTTATTGTGAGTGTCAGTGTCCCATTCCTCTTGCCAGTTCTTTGTTATCTGCCTTCGTAATTTTGCTCTATAATCAGCACTTGGTATCGCAAAAATGTCAACATTGCTATCAGCCAAAGTTGCGGCAGCCCGATCGGCCTCTTCATTACCAGCTATGCCCATGTGGCTGGGTACCCAGCAGAACTCAATGGCTAGTTTCCCCTCCAGTGCCTTAAGCACTCGTCGGTGTAAATCTGTTACAAGAGGGTTCTTTTTCTTTCCTGCAGATTTAAGGGCTCTTATTGCACTATGTGAGTCGGTGAAAACTACTCTTTAGGGAATTTATGTTTCAAAATGTGCTCAACTGCCATTATTACACCATAGAGTTCAGCTGTGAACACTGTGGCATCTCAATTTATTCTTTGAACACTCTGAATGGACTCCAAAACAAAAGCGCATCCAACATACTCTGCAGTCTTGGTGCCATCTGTAAACTAACTATTTTAATTTTCATAAATGGCATGCATTTCGAGAAATTCTTGTCTTATGACATCTGCAGACACTACTTTCTTGTTATATTTGGTCAATGAGAGATTGCAGTTTATTTCATTGTTCTTCCAAGGGGCCAGTGGTTGCTGGAGTTCAACAGAAGGACCAGGTGCTTCAAGGCTATGCTGTTCAGTCAGTGTTCTTATTCGTAAAGCAAAAGGTTTTGTGACAGATGGTCTATTCTGAAAGGTGCAATCATATTGTATAGTTTGTATGATGGAGTGGACAGGATTGTTTGGGGAAGAGCGAATTTGCAAAGAGTACTGAACACTAAGAAACAGCCTGCGCCTCTCAAGAGACCATTCATTTGCTTCTGCATATAAACTTGGCACCGGTGATGTACGAAATGCCCCCGTTGCAAGCCGAATACCCTGGTGGTGGACGGGGTCCAACATCTTGAGAGTTGTTGCTTTGGCTGACCCATACACGGTACACCCATAGTCCAAAGTTAAGCGTACAATTGCTCTGTAAATGCGCAAAAGGCAGACCCGATCTGCACCCCAGGACTTGTGCGAAAGAACTCTCATAATATTTAGCTTTTTCTGGCAACTCAATCGGAGCGATTTAATATGTGAACCAAAAGTGAGCTTTTTATCAAAGGTGACACCGAGAAACCTATGTTCGGCTCTATCTGGCAGTACTGCCCCTGCCGAATTCAGCGAGGGGTCTGGAAATAGGCCTCTTTGGGAGAAACAGACAACATTTTTTTCTGTCGAAAACTTGAACCCTTTTTGATCGGCCCACTTCATCATTCTATTGATAGTCATCTGCAATTCGCGCTCGCAAATGGAGAGATTACAAGACGCATACCAGATCTGCACGTCGTCGACATATAACGAGTGCATAACATTTGGTGGTATCACCTGTGACAATGAATTGATTTTTAAGAGAAACAATGTCACACTGAGAACACAGCCCTGAGGGACACCATTCTCCTGAACAAAAGAAGCAGAAAGTGTAGTTCCTAAACGCACTTGGAAGGTTCTATCTTTTAAAAAGTTGGCAATGCAGTTGAACATTCTTCCCCGTATACCAACATGCACAAGATCCTGTAAAATGCCATACCGCCAGGTGGTATCATAGGCATTCTCGAGATAAAAAAACACAGAAAGGTAGAACTGTCTGTTAACAAAAGCTTCTCTGTTACCAGTTTCAAGGCGGACAAGGTGATCAGTTGTTGACCTCGAAGTGCGAAAACCACATTGAAAACGACTTAAAAGACTTGCTTTCTAAAATAAAAATGAGCTTGTTGTTTACAAGTCTCTCAAGTCTTTCCCAGACAACTACCTAGTCAACGCAATATGGTGGTAACTAGAGGCATTAGATCTGTCTTTTCCTGGTTTTAAAAGGGGACTATAATGGCCCTTCTCTCCATACACTATTAAAAAATTTAAGAAAATCAAACGAATCAGCGAGATTGGTTAGCATGCTGTAATGTACTCTATCGGAACCTGGGGCTGAAGGCTTTGATGATGCAAGAGCGTGATGCAGCTCAGCAAGTGTAAAAAGCTGGTTGTACTCTTTATTGTTGCACCCAACAGTAACAAGCCTGACCTTCTCTGCCCTTGCCTTGTGGCTTAAAAAGTTAGTGCTGTAATTTCCACATCCTGATATACTTTGAAAATGCCTGCCCAGAATGTTAGCCTGCTCTTCCAGAGACGGGGGTATCACCGTCTGGTGACGAAATTAAGGGAATTGAATACTGACGGTAGTCCCCGTCTATTTTCCTGACCCTGTCCCAGACAACCTTGACACGTGTGGAGCTATTGAGGAGATTGGTAGCCGTCCGTTCGAGGTCTTTTCGGTTTAGACGGCACCACGTGACACAGTAGCGACGGCCGCGACATAATATCCTGGGCTCCGTCCTCCGCGGATTTCATGGTCGCTCTCGGTTGTCTGGATTACCAGACAACATTGACACGTGTGGAGCTATTGATGGAGAAGGTATAGCCAATCCAGGACTTCTATTTTACCTGCTTTCGGACATAGCGTGCAAAAGCACGCTTTTGCTCAAAAGACAAGACATTTAGAGCTGTTGGATATCGGCGCAGAATTCCCCAGAATTTATTTTGTGTTTTCTTTGCTTCACAACGAACGCTCATCGTTCTACCAAGGCTTAGGATGTTTAGGTAAATAGCCTGTCGTTTGGGGGATCGAAATCCGTGCTGCACCTATTGAGATTGTTGTGATGTGGTCATTTACTTCATCGACAGAAAGCGTGTCAAGAAGGTCATGGGAGAACACAGCAGTCTTTTGAAAAAGCTCCCAGTTTGCGGTTTCTAGCCTCCACCGGGTAGCACGCGACTGCAATCTCGGCAGGAGTTGCGTTGGGGCCAGGTGAACCGGGAAGTGATCTTTGCCATATGGGTTATCAATCACATTCCACTGAAAAAGGTAAATATATCCGGGGAACAAATGGAAAGATCGATACAGGAAAAAGATTGGTGAGATGTGCTGAAATATGTTGGTTCACCGGTGTTAAGCACACAGAGTTCCCTTGATGAGATGAAACGTTCAATCACTTTTCCCCGACTGTCAAACCGTTGACTCCCCCGAAGGGGGTTATGTGCATTAAAATCACCAAGTATAAAAAAGGGTGTAACAAGTATGTAGCGCCCCCCTCCCGTCCGCCCGTCTGCAGCCGCTTGGCTCGGCGGGCAACATTGATCACCGCGCCCAATAAACACCGTTGAGCGCAGCCGCTCCGGTCAGTCATCGTCCACCCTCAAAACTAGGCTGCGTGTCGTCTCTCCTCGGCAGGTGCTTTGGCCCCCTTCGTCCACGTTCCAGAAAGATCGTGACACTGGCGACGAGGGACCGTGGCACTGGAGGCCACCAACGTGCACGGTTCGGCCCACGCCGCCGAGAGAGTCGCAACACCGCCCCCCGCTCCTGTCGCCATGCCGCTGTACGGGAGGCTCGAGCCGTTCGAGGGACATGGGTCCGCCTGGCCAGTCTACGAAGAACAGGTCCACGTGTTCTTCCGGGCGAACGACACGCCCGAAGCGAAACAACGGGACATCTTCTTGGCCAGCTGCGGGACCCGCGTCTTCAGCCTCCTGCTCGACCTCTTCAAGCCGGCCACGCCGCACGTCAAAACGCTGGGTGAGCTGCTCGCCACGCTGCGCTCGCACTTCAGCCCGGCGCCATATCCACTCTTATGGAGCGGTTCCGCTTCAACAACCGGAGCCGCTGGGACGGGGAGACCCTCGGGCAGTTCGTCGCTGCGCTACGAGGGTTAGCGAACACCTGCGCCTTCGGCGACCAGTTGGACTCGCTACTCCGGGACCGGTTCGTCTGCAGCATCAACAACCCCGCCATGCAGACGCGACTCCTGGAGCTTCCCGACCCCTCGCTGGACGACACGGTGAAGGCAGCGCAGGCGATGGAAGCCGCAGGTAAGGACGCCAGCGAGATAGAGCGTGCTGGCGGCTCACCGTCGACGGAAGCGGCGGTGAACAAGATGGCGGCAAGGAGCGGTGCCTGCAGCTGCTGCGGTGCTGCCCACTCCTCCTCACAGTGCCAGTTCGTCCAAGCACAATGCTTCACGTGCGGGAGAACTGGGCACCTCGCACGTGTCTGCCGAGGGGGGGAGGACGAGCGGCGGCCAGCAGCAGCAGCAGCCTGGTTCAAGCCCGGGTTCCAGCCAAGCCCGCGGCCAGGGTGGTCGTCGCAAGAGAACGCGGCGGGGACGAGCGGCACCAGGCCCGGGTTCGTCTTCAGCCAGGGTCCACGTCGTGGCCGAGGACCCGCAGATTTTCGACGTGTGGCACACCAGGAGAATTTCATCCTCTGTGCCACCTTACTTGGTGTCAGTCAAAGTCTGCGGCCACCCCATCACCATGGAGCTGGACACAGGGGCCAGCGTGTCGGTCATGCCCGGGAAGCTGTTCAAGCGGACCTTCCCTGGCGTGTCCATTGAGGCGTCGGACGTCATGCTGCGCAGCTACTCCGGGCAGCTTTCCCAGGTCCAGGGTCGGGCTCAAGTCAGCGTTCGCCTTGGCGACAGGGAGGCAATCCTTCCCCTTTACTTAACCAAGGGGTCGTCGCTGACGCTGCTGGGCCGGAACTGGATTCACTCGCTGGGTGTTCGGCTGCTGGATTACCAAGAAGCTGCGCTGCACGTGGTGAAAGACGTCCCGAGCTCGGCACCTTCGCCGGCACGACGGTCGGCATCTACGTACCCGAGGGAGCCCGGCCTCGGTTCTTCAAGCCGCGTCCGCTGCCGTTCGCCCTGAAGGACGGGGTCACCCAGGAGCTGCAACGACTGCAGCGAGAGGGTATCCTGGTGCCCGTCAAGACCTCCCTCTGCAAGTCTCCTCTGCAGGTGGTCCCCATCGACGATGGGGACCACCTGCAGAACCTGCGCAAGGTCCTGACACGACTACAGGACGCCGGTCTCAAGCTGAGGCTTAACAAGTGCATGTTCCTGACCCCCAGCGTGGAGTACCTCGGACACATCATCTCCCAGGCTAGCCTGGCCCCGGCTCCCCGCAAGGTTGAGGCCGTGCTCAAGGCGCCGAAGCCCAAGAGCAAGAAGGAGCTTCAGAGCTACCTCGGCCTCATCAACTTCTACAGGAGGTTCCTGCCCAACCTGTCGACGCATCTGGAGCCGCTGCATCGCCTACTTCGTGACGGTCAGCAGTGGGCCTGGAAGAAGGAGCAGGACTTGGCCTTCCAGCACAGCAAGGAGTTAATCGTTAAGGCTCCAGTGCTGGTGCACTTCGACCCGGCCAAGCCTGTAGTCCTCACTGTGGATGCGTCGCCGTACGGGGTAGGAGCCGTCCTGTCGCACCGGGGTCAGGATGGTCAGGAACGCCCTGTGGCGTTTGCTTCTGGTCGACTACATGCGGCAGAGCGACGCTACAGCCAGCTCGACAAGGAAGGCTTGGCCCTCATCTTCGGGGTCCAGCGCTTCCATCAGTACCTGTGGGGCCGGCAATTCGAGGCAGTCACGGACCACAAGCCGCTGCTGGGGCTGCTGGGGCCAGACAAGGCAGTCCCTGTGCAAGCATCGCCTCGTGTGGTACGCTGGGCCTTGACGCTAGCTGCCTACAGCTACAAGCTGGTCTACCGCCCTGGGAAGGACCTGGGACCTGCCGACGCCCTGAGCTGCCTGCCCCTGCCGGAGGTGCCTGCTGCCGTTCCAGAGCCAGCTGACGTTTTCCTGCTGGAGCGGGCCTACCCGGGGGTGCTTACCAGGACTGCAGTGGCGCAGGCGGCCAGCCGGGACCCGGTCCTGTCTCAGGTGGTCAAGGCGGTTGCCCGAGGGTAGGAGCTGCGTCACCAGGCGTACAGCCACAAGACCGCCGAGCTGTCGCGCGCGTGAGATGCGTAGTAGTGCACTAAAGTTACCACTCGTGGAGCAGGTACAAGGCTAGCGGTTGCGGTAAGGCGCCCGCGCGATTTTTCCGTCTCTCATCTAGCCCCAGCCTTGTACCTGCTCCACGAGTCGTAATTCTAGTGCACTACTACTACTTCATTACTAAGTAATGAAGTCACACTTCGAAACGTTGTTGGAGTATATATATATTGCTTAGAGCGGGTACCGTAGAGTAAGTTATCAAAATAAAAAGCATATCTCAAACACCACTGTTATAGTCCGACGTTTTCGGCGCGTCGGGGCGCTGTAGTGGACGTCAGACACGCTGCGTCGGCTTCGTCACGCCAGTGTAAACATCGAACCCTCTACAGTCAAGCGTATTCGCCGCGGGGTAATCACCGCGCGCCGTCTGCGAGCATGCGCACAACGATCTTCTCAGCGCGCCGACTGTTGTCAACTTCTACGTCCGCGCCGTTTGGGCGGCTCGGTGCTCGTAAGGCTTCGTAGCGGTCAGCACCCACGCCGATTTCAGAGCTTTCCTTCTCTATAGTTCTTATAAAATAAGTACACAATCTGCATAGAGCAAGTATAGTCTTTATTGAATTCTATGGTCTGCATAAATTCCCAGGAACGCTTGGTGACGAATCCGCTGCCGCTACGCTTCGTCGGTTCATGGGCGTATAGCGGTCGCGCAGCCACTCTCACGGTTTTTAACTCATCGACTGTCAATGGAAGGAAAAAACGAGAACTTACGAGACATGATCACGTTTCCTGCAACAGCAAAACACAGGGTGCTCGCCGCGACGTAATGTGCGCAGCAAACCTGTGGTGAGAAAGCACAGCTCCCGGATAGCTTCCCGTTCGTTTTTCTTCCTCTCCTGATCGCGGATCGTGGTAGTCGAGTGTGCTCGTGTCGTAGAAACACGGCCGATTTCGAATTCCTTCCAGCAGCTTTTCGACGACGAAGGGCACATATCATATGGGGGCTGCTGCGGGTTTACTACGGTTGATGAATGCCATTTCGTCGAAGCACGTTTTAGAGAACGGGCACGTTTTATCGAAGCACAGTTTAGAGAAAGCAGAGCCTCAGTTTAGAGAAATGCCGTTTATCGAAAGGGGGACGCTATTTAAGAAAGGGTTTTCTACTTTTCGCGTGTACCACTGGTGCACGTATTAACCCAAGCCCCCGCTGCGCTCTCGCCGCTTTGCGGCGGCAGTCTGCGGCGGCTCATTACAAAAATATTAACTCAACTGACTTATCCGCACACGCCGCTTCGCGGCGGCCGTATTCACTAAAAGGAGGCTCATCGCCATTTTCTCTAAACTGGGTTTCTCTATAAAGGCATTTGATAAACTGGGGTCGGTAAAACGGCGTTCGCTAAAACGAGCTTCTCTAAACCGCATGACTCCGGTCTGCTGCTACTGTAGGCCACCATTGCTCTTCGGCTGGTCGAGCGGCTGCGCAATGCATCACGGTCCAGCGACCCGACGCGGCCGGCGCAAGGAGCGCGCCGAAAGCCGTCGGTCGCGTTGGTTACGTTAAGGGCTGTTTATACTCCGTCGTAACGCCAACGAGCGCAAGCGCTCGTTCACGCTCGTTGTCGCTGTCTGCAAACGGGGTGTCTATACTCCAACGTCAAGTTGAACGCGGCGCTGCGCTGAGCAGCTCGACGCGCGACGTCGTAGCTACGACGGACTTGGACATGCTCTACGTTCAACGTTGGACGTCGGCGCCGCCGACGCAGGCTATCCCAGCAGCCCTCGCGCGGGTGCGTGCCCGCCCGGCGTGCTGGCAGCGCCGTGCCGGCCGGGTGGCCGGATTGGCCGGATCGTCGGAAGCCAAAACGCAAAATGGCGCGAGGCGGGAGCGACCTTACGACTGACGAAGCGGAACAGCTAATCGAGGCGATAAAAGAACGCCCGTCGATCTACGACATGGGGTCCATCGAGTACAGGGACTCAATTAGAAAGGAAAACGCCCTGGAAGCCGTGAGAATAATCTGCTGTTTCAAAACAGGTAAGTGATGCTTCCCTCGCGGTAGGGATGCTTCCCTCGGGGCAGAGATTCTTCCCTCGCGGCATTGATATGATTTTCGAGCGGCGGAGTGCGCAGATATCTATAAGAAGGAAGAGAACAACACAAAAAAAAGGATGCCAGAGACGGGACACTTTCTCGCCGTCTTTTCTGCTGTGTGCAAATATCGCATGAAAAAGTAAAAACAAAAAATATAAATACAACTACCATGTCCCGCGGAAAGCAGAAATCTAAATCACCAAACAGTAATGTAACCTCTACTATCATGTCCCGCGGGAAGCAGATATCTAAATCACTTACAGTCAGGGGCAGATTTTGAGGGGGGGGGTTCGGGTCTGGATGTCCTGACCCCCCTCTTGATTTCTGCATGTGTGAAATTTAGGGCGTAAAACGAAGGGGAGGGGGTTCCTAAACATGGTACGCTGGCCAACACCTGCCCCCCCCCCCCCCCCCCCCCCCCTCAGAAAATTCCTGCATCCGCCCCTGTTTACAGTAATGTAACCTCTTTCAGTCGACGACGTGAAAAAACATTGGAAGAGTCTGAGGGACCGGTACGTCCGGGAGCTGCGCGCCCTCGAGGAGGCAACCAGGAGCGGGAGCGGCTTCATAAGACGCAAGCAATGGCAGTTTATGGAGCTGATGCGGTTCTACAAAGACCATGCGCGTCCAAGGAGGTATGTGACAAGTTTGTGCTGCTCTATTGTTGTCAGGGGCTCCGGAATTGAGAAGGGGGGGGGGCAGTGGGGGCAGTGGGGGCATGCCCCCACACTCAAAGCTGGTTCGACCCCCCCCTTCCCCCTCTTTTCCCCTCCCACCACCGGTGAGGGTGTTGCATGTTGAATATATTGGGTGGTTCAAGTCACCAGGCTCAATCTAAAATGGACCGGAAAAATCGACGCCTGCATGTAGCCATGTAAACTTTTCGTCAAAGGTGTATTTCACAGGTCGGTTCTTCCTTGCAAAATTACACAGCTTAGTTCTCTTTTAGTAAAAAATATGGCCAAGAAACTTGCCAGGGTGTGCGGTGGGCGGCAACCCAGACGACCAAGTCCCAAGGAGGATAGAAAGGTAGGAGAGGCATGACGTCGGGCCGCGTAGCCTCCACAAGCCATGCTCCCTTGACACCTCGCCTCTTTCTCATTTTCCTCCTTACTCTCCTCACTTACCATGCCAACGTGACCACATATCACGTGACCGTAGCTAGCCTTCATCTTGCTATGGGGTACTAAAATACACCACAGTCTAGCCTTCGTTCTGATAAAACCTACCGGATGGAGCGCGCGCAAGCCTGCAAGGAGTCCTTCTAGAACCAACCATCCATCTCGCACGTGACATGTCACACGCACCAATCGCCAGAGAGATCTGTGGTCACGCTGGGCACAAAATCGTTTAAACTTTTTATGACTAGGCTTCACCAATATTGCAACGTGCCCACTCCTAGTACTTCTAACCTCCTTGCCAAGTCCAGTCGCGGAGTGTGTTTGGCTTTCGTATTGGTAGATGGCGTCCACAGCACAGCTTCGACAGCAAGAACAATTGTTTTTCATTTGCACCTTAGATTTTCATTGGTAATATAAGTGCCTCCACTGCAACTGGTTCATAGAAATTAATGCCGAAGCATCGGTTAAACATTATGTAAACAAAGCAAAAAACGAGCAGCCACTCTTCGGCATGGCTTGTGAGGCGGTGCCGCTCAGCCCCAGAAAGTTGAAGATGGACCTCAGCACTTTTGTCCGCCTCTCGAGTCTCAAGCCGGCTTGACCCAAGTGTCGAGGTTCCTTGGCCGCTTTTCAAAGTCTTTGTCCTCCCAGGCTTTACGGCGATGAGTGTTGTGTGCCTTACGCTCTCAGCTTAGCGGAGCTTGGGAGGGACGTGTTTGTTGCAGCAGGGGCATCTTGGGACGAATGAAACGATTGTGAGGTGGCGCTTCTTCCGCACGACGGCAAGCAGAGGGGTAACAGCGCCTCCAGAGTGGTCCTATCTCAGCATACCTGTTTCCGTTCCCCAATTCTCCTCGGTGAATGGATTTTGTCCTCGGGGTTGCACTCTTCCTTGTTCTTGGTGTCGTGGAGTGAGTGATTTTCTCATGAACCAGTGATACCAAGTCTACTCATTTATCAGTAGATATCATTTTGCTCCCCGTTTACTGATTCATAGCATCTTCAATCTCCGTGTGCTGGATTGTCTCAAAACCAGCAATGTTTTGGGGAAATCCGGTGCATAGAGCACCAAAGATGCAATTATTTATTCAGTATACTGCAAGTTCAAAACCGGCACGATTTTGAGCCGCCCCTGAGGAGCAGTGATTCGGTACTCTTCGGTGATGGAGCGCCGAGTCGGTGCAACATCGAGGAGGAACTACGCTGCGCATTGGTACTATGTTCTGGCAACGCTGCCCTGGACCTAGTAAAGATTCTTACATTGTGTTTGACACAGCAATTTGATAGACGCATTTGAGATTCCCATGATCGAGGGGCTCACAGTGTGCGGTTTCTTGCACTTGCGGTTGGTATGTTGGGAATCCATGGAAAGATGTGCTCTACGTATGGTGAAGTCCGCCCTTGCTAGAATGTGTTTGAGCGCTTCTCGTTTGGCGTGTGCTTTTGTCCTCTCCTGAGACCTGGTCTCAAGGGCGGAAGCCGCCATCAACATATGTTTATGCCTTCTGTGTCAACAACATAGAAGGCAGCGCTGAGTCCACCAATCTTGGTGGATGCATCCATGTAGATTAACTGATTTTGGGGGGTCTTTGGGAATTTTTGGTGCCTTTTTTGTGTGTTTTTTGACACAGTTCTGTCCCCTGGCTATGGGCATCGGGCCCATGTTTGTTGGTGTGGTAGTCAGCTGTGTCAGGTTGATTTGATTCCATGGTGGTGTCGGCAGTGCTATGACCAGGAGGTGAATAACGTTCATGGTTGCAAGTTTAACAACGGCTCGGCCCTGTTTTGTCTGTACACGTGCCTGGTGCATCCCGAATTGTTTGTCGAGGCTGTCCCTCGACTTGGGGACGTGGGGTGCATTCGCACAGCTCATTCAGCTTGGTGTGCTTAAAGGGATGCTGAACCAAAATCTGAATTCCACAAAACACTGCAGCAAAAGCGTGCAACGGGATGCTACAAACACCAAAACATCACTCATACAGCAATATCACGAACGGATGACCATATTTAAAAAAAAGGAGGCGTATTTGACAGATATGTTTACATCTTGTTTCTCCAAAAAGCAGAGGAAACTGCCTCGTGTTTTCTCCGCCTCGCCGCCTTGAGGGGGCAAAACAAAGAGAGGACGAAACGAGATATCTTGACGTTCAATCTCGCCCCTTTTTTTTTTTCCAAAAATACGGCCGTTCATTTGAGATACCGCCTTACGAGTAGTGTTGTAGGAATTGTAGCGTCCCGCCTACAGCTCCTGCATTGTTTTCTGAAATTCAAATTTTTGTTCACCATCCCTTTAAGCAGACCTGTGATTGCTCTCCTGGCATCGTTGAGTAGCGAGTCAGGTTTCTTTCAATGTTTCTTGATTAGGCGGTAGGATCAGAGTTTGAATTCTGCCTGTTTTCACACCCTGCAGGACTGTGTGCAATGTGGCAGCCCCACTGGAGCCTTCCACCCCGGAATCTCTTTTAATGGGCATGGTGGACTCGCTGGACAGGGAGGAGCCCGCTGAGATGACCCAACAGGCAAACACCGACTTCCTTCCCGCAGAGTCTCCTGGATCATCCTCAAGTACCCCCTCGGAGAGGGGCCACAGCCGGGTTCCTGAGCCTAGGATTGCTAAACGCAAAAGAGACCAGGACACAGTCGAGCAGGAGCTGCTGAGACACCTCAACACCAAAATGACGGGATCAGAGGCCCTGGGGTACTCAATTGGAGCTGCCATACAGCACTGGGACACCGAAACTTATGCCCTCTTTAGTTCTGATGTCCACAGGCTTATTGCAGAATATGAAGTGCGTTTTCAGAGTAAGCAATAAACAGCAGCCATTTATTTTTCTGCAGACAGCAGGCTTCCTCTGTACACTTGGTTATTGTTGGGATAAGGGAACACTACCAGTTGCGCAAACAAAACACTAAATGTCAAAAAGGGAAATGTTTCGGGGAGACCTTTTATCACGCAGTCGCCGGCCGCCAGCACGTTCGGTTCACTGGTGCTATACTGGGTTCTTATTGGTATCAGCGAACATAGCTTTGAGTAGAAGAGTTTTAGAGGAGAAAAGCATAAAAAAGGTATGCCTAATTTGAAAAAAAAAAAAAGAAATTAAACTGAAAATGCAGAACCCTAGTTACATTACATAAACCAGTGGTGGAACTGCGGCGTCATTTGCTCCAAACTGTGCCGGAATGAACAACCTGCTACATGCTGCTCCCATACAGCCTATATTTATAGACTGGCCTCGGAGAGTCCAATAGCTACATTGGGATGGCGAGTAACCGAGGTATTACATCAAATTAAATCTATAAAGAAGCCCCACCATACGGCGGACGGTGCACATGAATAGGAGATGCAACTAGAAATGGGCCCCATTTGTTTTTTTTATTAAAAATTCTCAATATTTGACCGTAACTTTTGATTTTAATAATGCTTCATTCTGAAACTTTCGCATCTGGTTCCAACTGCTAGGGTTACATTCTAGTGGAGTTTGAGCTCGCCGCTATGTCCACTTCATTTTTGCAGTGCAAAAGACAGGTAGTACACTTAAAAGAAATGGGACACAAAGGGAAACACCCTAAAAGAAATGGGACGCAAAGAGAAACACCCAGTAGACTTAAAAGAAATGGGACAGAAAGAGAGCTAAACATCAAAGTTACTGAACATAGCAATCTTGAAAAAAAAAAAGAAGGTTTATACAACGAAGAAGATAACATATCACAAAACATAACATGTCAGGTTGGGGTCTCGGAGAACCCGTCACACGTAAACTCATCACAGCCAACTCATCATAGGTGAACTCGTGAAATATTGTAGGCCAGCTCGTACAGGGAAAAGTTGCAACAAAGCGCAACTGGCATTTGTCCACTTCGTCACAATTTACATTTTAAACGATTATGCATTTGCAACTAGACTTAGCTGATTATGGAAAATTTACGGCATTTTTCTTTTTTAAATATGACGTGGTCTTATTGTTGGCGAAAAGTAAAGGATGTGGTAGAAGCTCTGCTTCCATTAAGGGCTTGTTACCTCCCACCATGCTTTGGTTGTGCGTGCGCACTTATGCTGTCAATGGTAGAAAAATTGCGATGGGGGGGGTTTCAGCGTTACGCTTTTACAATGCATGCAGCGGTGATGTCCAAGAATGAAACGACCAGAAATAATCATTTGACTGAAATTAAAGGAACGTTTAAATCTGTGTTTATTTGCACGATAAGGTAAATATGGAAGTTGACAATTGATGCAAAGCGCAAGTTAAAGCGAAACATTTCGTGTGATGCTTTCGGCCCCTCCAGTCCCCTCAAGACATGCTGATTGACAGCCTGGTACTTGTTTTGCCAGTAAGTTCCGACCCAGAAAAACTTCCAAAAAGGGTCTAATAACAAAGTAGTGCTTTAAACACTGACGAGAGGGAAGAACAAGGCAACAAAATGTGCGTTGTGTTTCTCGGCATTAATAACAAAGGGAAGTTGAAACTAAAGGTAAGACCAAAAAGCCGACCACAAACGTTGCCTGCAAACAATTAAAAAGAGAGGTTAATTTTCAAATGACAAGGTCGATGCAACCACTTCTTAGGTTAAAGCCAGTCCCCCAGCCAAAACTGAAAGGTATGTGATCAACTTTTAAAGAACGAGACGGTCAGTGCGACAACTTTCCCTACTACGGGTTCACCTAGAACGAGATTCCGCCTTAGACCAGTGACCAGTTTTTGTATGACAAGTTGGCTGTGGCGAGCCGGCCTGTTCTCTTAAGACCTGTCCACAACTGTGTCCTGCCAAGAAATGGATCCTCTTGGCGAGACAAAGTAGTCTGCCAGTAGGTCCCTTATGCCAAGTGCAGTTGGACTGCTGGAGTTGGGCCCCAGGACCCTGTTGGCACCAACAGCCGTGATGTCTGCTCGCCAAGCGCCATCCACTCTCTGGCCTTTCCTTTCTCTGTCCATGTAGCCAGGCGGGCAGTACGCCTCATCTTCCATCAAAAAGTTATGGAGGCAGACTGCTGCCTTAATCATACCCTCACAGCGTTCCATGCTGCCATGCATCGGGCCCAGGAACGTGCGCCACCGGGAGACTAAGATACCGAAGGCATTCTCCACGGTACGCCTTCCGCGAGAGAGTCGGTAGTTGAAAACTTTCCGTCGCCTGTCCAGTCCTCTTCCCGGAAAAGGACGCATTAGGTAGTGTTTCAATGGAAATGCCTCGTCCCCGAGGATGCACAGAGGTGGTGCTGGGCGTGCGACACTGGGGACTTGAAGGGAATTCGCAGCTAACGCCTTCCCAATGTTTGAATTTTTAAAAACTCCGCCGTCCGACTGATGCCCAGTGGCACCAATGTCCACCAAAGTGAACCGGCAGCGAGCATCAACAACGGCTAGAAGTTGCATCGAGTAAAACTTCTTGTAATTAAAACATGTTGTCCCTGAGTTGGAGGGACATCTCATTGCAAAATGTTTCCCGTCAATAGCTCCAATGGCGTTCGGGAAATTCCATTTAACTTCAAACTCTCTGCGGATCTCTTCCCACTTGGCAGCTGTTGGCGGCTTCAAAAACTAGGGTGCCAGCGTCTCCCAGATTGCAGGCAACGTCTCCCGGAGGATAGAAGACAATGTTGCCTTGTGCATCCTGTAGCTGACACCAATGTGTCCCAAGGATCCAGGCGATGCGAGGAACCTGGAAATATTGCATGGATTGTCTGCGTTAGAGAAGTGACTAATCAAAAGGTCTTATGATTGGCTACAACTTGGCCCCAATATAATCCCTACTGCAACTACATCCTGCTAAGATATGTTATTACAAAGATCAATCTGCGTGATGCTAATACACAAGTGAGATTTTGTGAAAAAGTTTAAATATGGTTATCAAACATAGATTATCTCAAACCTGCGTTTGCGAGTATTTTGTGAACCCTTGCAGTAATACTGTACTCCATACAACCTTCAGCTCACAGGGCAGCAAAGGCTACAGGCATGAGCTGGCCCACGCTCTTTGCTTTGAGAGTCTTTCTTTAGACCTTTCCCATAAAGACTTCCTGCCGGAGCCACTTCCAGAGTCCGTGCGTATGGGCCGTGACTCGGTATTTTCTCAAGTGATGAACATTCACATGCTAGTCTGTGGAGGTCGCAAGCTGGGCTGCAGATATGTAAACATTGGAAACGCGTATACATGGCTTGCATGATGTCATTCTACAGTGTTTGTGCTAGTAATGTTGGCTGGTGCTGTTCCCATGACCGTCTGTACTTCTGACCTGCCAACAGAAGGGTTCTGTATGGAACCCTTCCAACAGTGCCATGTCATGGCTGGCGGTGGCTACAATTATGGGATGTTTGATAGAGAGACTCAGTATAATTACCTGAGTGTAATCGCAAGCCGCTCAGCGGGAGAGATCGGCGAACGATGCGTGGGCGCATGGACGAGACGATCGTAGACGAGAGCGAGCAGCCTGTCGAAGGAGGACTTTGTCATCCTGCAAAAGAAAGACAAAGATTTGAATTCTAGTTCTGTCGTTGATTCTGCAAAACGAATCTGACTTGATCTTTCCGGTCTTACCTGAAGTACATGAAATGGTACTCGGGGTCGCTCTCTTGCAGTTCCTGGACCAGGTGATAGAACTCGCCGAAAACTTTCCGCTTATCAAAAATGTCTCTTACGTACATCGTACGTATTCTCTTTCGTTGTATACGACGCCACAGAATCACTGCAGCTATCTTTCGTTTCGTTTGCACGTCCGCGTTCATGTTGATTCTGCAAAGCATACGACTGGACACGACCGCCAACCCCGACCTCCCGGTGGAGATGAATGGATAAATGAATCCGGCTGAGCCCTTTGGATCGGGCGGTAGCTTACGCCACCTACAGAAGTTGGAACAGAACGCCGAAGCGGAAGTGCGCCACCGGAAAAGCCCAGCGCGCATGCGCAAAATAGGGAAGCGCGTTCGCCAACGTTGGAGTATAGACACCGCCAAGCGAGCGGGTTCTTATCGCAGTCCGGCGCAACGTCATGGTCGGCGGACGTCGCGTTGCGCCGGCGAACGTTCGTCGCGCCGACGTTGGAGTATAAACAGCCCTTTAGGGCGTCGGTCGGACTGCAGAGGATCTCGTTGTCGCGGCGAAGCTCGCGCGCGCGCGCGCACGTTACGTCAGACTATAAACGCACCTTTAACGTTGACGCGACCCGCTACAGACGGACGGCACAAAGACAAGGGGAGCGGGTTGGGGTGCTGCAGTTTTATAGGAAGTATTCACTGGCGGCCATAGCTGTGTGCGCGACTGCTGAGCGCGTGCTGGCGGAGAGCGTCCACAGTTCTTTTGTCACGGACATTCCGCACCATCAAGATTTCCGGTCTTAGCAGCCTATTAATGTGAGCTCGTTCTGAGCATGCGCTCTAAGCATCGCTTCAAATATGGCGTCCTGTGAATACGCCCCTTATTGTTCATCGCATTAAAAACTGCAACTATCTTGTTTCTGAGATTACGTGTAAGCATGAAATGTTTTGCAACGCGGAAGTCGGTGAACGCTACACACTGCGGATGCTGAAGTACACAAGCTCTATACGCTTAAGTCAATCATTGGTACTCATTGTGTTTAAAAATTAAAGTTTTTGACAAACATCTTTTTGTTTCAGGTGTACTGCATCAGCTGCGTAGCAGACGCTCCTGCAAGGGCTGCTATGCAGAACGTCATGCAATTTAACGGGTATTTCGGCTGCTCATGGTGCCTTCACCCTGGAGTCAACATCAATGGTAAAATAACACAACCTTAAAGTTGTAATAGTAAATGTCTAATGACTTTATTCGCTCCCGTTCTTGCAGGATACGTTAAGTACACCGTTAGCGGAGGAGTAAGGCAAGACCGCAGCGAGCGTGGGATGATCCAGGACATGTCGACAGCAGCAGAAACGCAGCGCATCGTCTGCGGGGTGAAAGGGCCATCGCCACTGCTCAATGTGCCAGGGTTTGACATCGTTGGGAGCTTTAACCCCGACTATATGCATTGTGCGTTACTCGGGGTTGCTCGCCAATTTGCCGAACCCTGGTTCGCAGGAGTTGGAGAAGAGTATTATATTGGCGATCCGACGAATCAGTCTATTGTCAACGAGTGGCTATGTGGCCTCAAACCACCGCAATGCATCAACAGACCTCCACAAGCATTGAAGCTTAGGAGATACTGGAAAGCCGCCGAATGGCAGTGTTGGGTTTTTTATTACTGCTTGCCGTTTTAAAACACGTGCTGCCGAAGACATACTACCAGCACTTCGAGCTGTTTGTTGCGGCCCTGTACCTTTTATGCAAGACGGAGGTAACGTTGGAAGATGTGGAGATCGGCACGACGAAAATGACCGAGTTCGTGGTCATGACGGAATACCTCTATGGTGAGCCACAGATGACGTCCGATCTCCACACACTCCTTCACCTCCCGAAAGCTGTTTTGCTACACGGTCCGCTCTGGGCACTGTCGTGTTTTCCCTTCGAATCGAAGATGGGCCACATTTTGAAGCTCGTGTCGTCTTCGAACGGCGTACCTGTCCAGATCCTTTCCCGTTGTCTCCTTCGAAACAACTTCTTCCGGCTGCGGAACATGTCCTCTGACGAAGTTCAGGATTACCTTCAAGTGAAGAAAGACATGCGAAACGGCTTGCAACTGCTTGGCAAACCTAGGCAGGTGACCGAGTACGTGTCACAGCTTGTGAGAGATTTCACATCTTACAGGGTCGATGAAGTTGTCGAGCATGACCGTGTGCGGGTTGACGGTCATGTGATTCACAGCTTACAATATAGGGCACCCTCTAAACGAGACTCGACTGCTCTCAAGCTGGGGGATGTGTACTTAAGAGCAGAGCAGATTCTGTCCGCTACAGGTGCGGACGGCCGCCACGTCTACATCATGCCGCATATGTACGACGTGACCGACTTTGGAAATGCCAGTCACTTGAAAGTGGCCAACAAGCGGTCCGCAAAGAGGCTGCATAAGCTTTGCCAGTCTCTGCATCCTTGTATGTACTTAGATGTGAATAATACAGTAATTTTTGTCGAGCTTTGCAACAAGTATGAGTGGTCATAGTTATACTTATTGTCGGCAAAGTCGGACTCTTGGCCTGTTTTTTCTCCCACCGTTTTTAGTCTAGAGTGTTCATCCTTCGCAGTTGACCTGTAAATCTTTTAACTTGTACATTTATATTCTTTGGGGCTTGTTAGGTATTTGACTGGAAGTATCGCTATATAGGTTTTGGTCCTGATTCTTTTTGGCATTTTGCTTTTGCATTTGTTGCCTTTTTTTGTGCCTTGGTCTTAAGCTCAATATGTTATCTGTGCATAAATGTTAATTTCACAGCCATGTATTGTCGATAGTTTTTTTATACAAAGAATTAGTATAAATGTTTTCAACTGTATTTACCTATGTGACGTGAGCTTCTTTTGTCCAACAGAAGCTTGGCGCTTAAAACCAGGAGCTCTTTCCAACTTTGAACTTCTAGCCTCAAGGTACTTCAAAATTAATAGAAAAACTTCGGGTTCACAGCTTTCCCGGAGAAGACTAGATATCTGTTCTAAACTTCTTCATGTAACAAGAAAAATGGTATCACCTGTTCTGTCATTATATTCAAAGCCTCGAATCTTTCATTATTCATTAAAACATATCTTTGAAGCCGGCTTATTGTTAAATCCTTCTTCTAGGCCAATATCCGTCACCAGTGTGTCATGTAAACTCACGAAACACGTCATATGCACGCAGATCTTAGCTCCTCTCGATTGATTCAGCTTTCTATGCCCCCTAACAAACACGTTTTTAGAAAAAATCACTTATACCTACGTAACTATTCGAATTCGTTACTGATCTTCACGCCAATACTAACGACGGTCGCTAAAACGACGTCATCTTCATCGATTTTGCCAAAGCTTTCGATTGTGTTCCTCACAGTCGCTTTTTCTAAAATGTATCAAGTATCCCTATTGAGCCGTGCATTCTTGACTGGATGGCTTGTTTTCTTTCCAGTGGAACTAAATCAGTAAAAATAAATAAACCCTACTTTGTATCAATATCCAGCAACATCTGGGGACTTCGCGCTTTCCACTCTCCATTTCCTCCTTTCTCGTCCTCCTTTCCCCCCTTTACAACCCTTCCGCCACCTCGTTTCCGCTACAGTCCGCCCTCCCCCGAGCAGCCAACACAAGGAGTGAATTAAGCTCGGTTGTTCTGCCTAATCCGTGACGACAGTACCAATCGCTTGGTTTACGCTTCTCGCCCCGCTCAACTAGAAAACGTCGCAGGTGCTTTGCCGTCAATGGGGCAGACATCCGTGGCCCGGGAGCCTGACAAAAAGAAACGAGTGTTGTGAGCTGGGGGAAACGAGGGAGTGCAGCTTCCGCTGGGGTGACACAATGCTGGTGCCCAAAGCGGGAAACGGAACAAATGGTCCCGGAATAAATGGTCCCTGAACGAATGGTCTCGGAAGAAATGGTGCCGGAACTAATGGTCCCGAGTACAAACTAGGAAAAAATGTTCCCAGATAAATATCGCCAATGTGGCTTCTGCGTTTCGCATAAATCCGATAAAATCCAATAACACTCGCCGAATTTCGGGGCTGCCGGTTGCACGAACACGACCGCTTTTTACATATTTTTCTGGGAAGCTCAGAAATGTTTTGCGCTATGGAAACCTAATGCACCTATAAAGGCATCGGGCTCCGCTCGTTCTGTGTGCTACCATCATGCGTCATGGCGAGATGGAAGTAATTCGAGTGTCAAGGCTTCAACAGGGGAGGCACTCACTTATTTATTTATTTATTTATTTATGTTCGAATGACGTTTTAGCGAACGCCCACATTTCACCAAATGACGCTTTAGCGAATGGTGGGCCCAGAGGGTTCACATTTTTGTAATGAGCCCCCTCAGACTGTCGCCGCAGAGCGGCATAAGCGCAGCACGTCGGGGTTGGGTTAACATGCGCCCCCGTTATCCGCTAAAACGTCGATTCGCTCAAATGTCGCTGCCCGCTAAAACGTCATTCGCTCATGTGATATGGACTAGGGGTACTCATTTTTGTTTCAAAAAAATTCTACTGATGTCATAAATAATCTAAAGCCCCTTAATAAAAATAGTAATAACTCCCATAATACCTTATATAAGGTCACTAAAGTAACAGGTAGGAGATAACGCTTGGGGGGGGGACTGTATTCACTTGGAAAATATTCTGACGATTTTGAATAAAATGAAGTTCAATACCCAACCCCTTTCTTCGAAGTAACCGGACTCAAAATATAGACGAGATAATTTATTCCACCAGGAAATCACTGATTGCATGACGGATGAAGTATATTGCATGGTATATCTTATTTGCAAAGCAATCCTCTTACGGGACCATTTTTTCTTACCTTGGACTTGGGACTATTAGTTCCGGGACCATTTGTTCCGACAGCCGCCCAAAGCACTTTGAAATTGCGCATGGATCTGGAAGACTGGTACTGGTATTTGGTTGACGCTACCTCGATTACTCTCGAAGCGCAGCAGGTTGAGTTCTGTGAACATCCTCGTCTCCTACAAGCGTGCCAAACGGTTCCTGCGAATATACGCCCAGCATTTCTTCACTAGAATTATAAGTTTATTGCAAAATGCTGTGAAAGAAAGAACTGCTGATCAGCCACGCAAGGTACGTGTGATATATCTTGCAGTTGCTACTCAACTGCGTTGTTTGCGTCCCATGTAGCTATGACTTGTTTTTGAAACTCTCGCAGGCATTTTAATTGCACACAAAACATTTCTCTTATATATATATATATATATATATATATATATATATATATATATATATAACTGAGAAGAAAAAAACCCTTAGTGAAAACAGCAACAACGGACGATTTAATCTTTGACGTTTAGGCCGGAGTTCGGCCTTAATCAGGACCTGACGAAGGCCGGACTCCGGCCGAAACGTCGAAGAATAAATCGTCCGTTGTTGCTGTTTTCACTAAGGGTTTTTTTCTTCTCAGTTGTATACCCACGCCTTCGGCCTCCCGCCAGCATGCCCGTTGTGTGTGTGTGTATATATATATATATATATATATATATATATATATATATATATATATATATATATATATATATATATATAAGAAAGATCCATGGACTGAACACAAACAAGGAAAGGTTTATGGACGTTTCGAGTGGAGGCCTCTCTTCTTCAGAATGAGGATTGAGGGAACTCGGCACGATTTTTCTGTAGTCCCGCAAAATAAACAATAAAAGCAAAAAAATACATAAAAAAAAAGCAATAAAGGCGAGGAAGAGGGTTGGCTCACTTATTCAATTAGCCGAGAGGCAAAACCAGCGTCGCCTCCGACGAAGACAGACGGCCTGACCCCTAGCCCCCGGAGCGCTCCGCGGTCTGGGCGGCGGAACAGACACGGGAAAAACACATTCCCCACACCAAAAAAAAAAAAAAAATTTCGCGATCCAGAAAAAGGTTTTGAAGGCGGTATAAACAGGAACCAAACAAACCAGCAATGGAACAGCCAAGGGCAAAAACAAAAAAACAAAAAGGGGGGAACGCAACAACAACGCCGACAAAAAAAGTTACTGGGGAATTATATATATATATATATATATATATATAGTATTCCACGTAACTTGAGCCAAGGTTTAAACATATGTTGATGCATTTTAAAAAGGCGAAACCAAATAAATACACATAGTCATTGTTTAGAGCAAGTCAAACTATTTTTTTTGTATTTCTCGCAATTAAATATTTAACTAAGATTAATTAAACAACTTTTTAATTATAATATTTAGAGCTAAACTCTCAAAGACAAAATTGGAGAGCATCCTCAGAAACCTCCGAATCAATGGTTTTGATCAAGAATCCTCGAACCCGGTTTGTTTTACCGGGCTTTAAAGGGAAGCTACGGAGCTTCTTGGAAAAAATGAGTTAGAAGTGAATTCTAGTGTATTTTTACCCCGTGAACCCGAATACCCAAACCATTTGCTGCGTAAGAATTGTTAAACGCGAGAAAAACGCGAAAGAAAGTCGCTGTCCGTGACGTCATCGACGGCTCTTTTGGCTGCCCAAGGCTAGGGGGGCGGGGCTTCAGCCCTATTTTGAAATTGCTCTTGTGGCTCTCTGGCGCGTTGCATTGAAATATAATTTTGATATCTGTTATTCTAACAGCCAAATGAACGCAATTCAAGCGTTTTTTCTCAAATGTAGAAGTGCCCCATCTTCCCTTTAAAAACA